ATGAGGCACATCCTGTTGGTAGTTGCACTAATTCTTATGGAAAAACAAAATACTTCATTGAAGAAATGATCAAGGATCTCTGCTATGCAGAAAAGGTATTTCTTACCATTGTATGAGATTGGCACCTATTAAAATTGTCATACTGAACGTAGGCTGTGTATAGTGTTAACTGAAATGCCATCTCCCTTTCGGGAAAGAAATCTGATCTGGTCTACATATGACTGTAAACCCACAGCAATGTAGTTGATGCTTTACTGCCCAATGAAATTGCCTACCAAGCCATTTAGCTGTGTCAAACAGCTATAAAGCCTAAACAAAGGCATGAAAGTCAACAGACCACCTAGCATTGAACTAGGCACTGGAAATAACATCAGTTGGGATGTTGCAAAGTTCTAACTTGACCTTGTGCCAAGATTAGTAAAGCTGTCCCAGTCTAGTAAAACAACAACATGACGTTGTCTGTGAGCTATGATTCTGAGAGAATAACTATGTCCCAGAAACCACATCATCATTTTCAGGTAGGTCCCATCCTACCTGCAGCATGGACCCAGCAGAGGGGCTGGCACTGAGGTATACAGTTGGAAAGGAGTTTCTTGAGACTCTGCAGCATTGATTCCAGACCTCCATGAAATCTCATGGCATAAAGTAAAAACGCGGGCAAGAACATAAGCAATTGGAGCAGGAGTAGGCAATTCAGCCCCTCGGGTCTGCTCCGCCATTCAATAAGATCGTGGCTGATCTGCCCTAGACTTCAATTCCTTTTTTGTGCCAGCTCCTACAGCACTCAACTGCCCAATATCTCAAAAACCAATCTACATCGTCTTTAAATACATTGTGATCTAGCGTCTGCAACTCTAGGATAGAGAATTCTCCGCATTACCGTCCAGGAGAAGAAATTCCTTCCCATCTCTGTTTTAAATGAGTAGCCCTTTATTCTGGCCTTCAAGCTGGCTGGATCTTCATGGATATAGCGGTTAGACTCTGGCAGATGGTGAAGGAAGCAACAAGTGCGAAAAAATCTACTTGACCTCATCCTCACTAATCTACCTTTCTCAGCTGCGTTTGTCCATGAAGTGATCATTAGGAGTGCACGTGCAAAGTTCCATCATCACATTGAGGATTCCCTCCATTGTGTTGTGTGGCATTGCCACTATGCTAAATGGGACAGATTTTAAATAGACCCATCCATTCTGAATTGAGCACCCATAGGATGCTGTGGGTCATCAGCAGCAGTAGAGTTGTATTGTACTATCTGTAACCTTGTGGCCTGACATTACCTCATTCCACTATTAACATTAAATTGGGAGATCAATTAGTATTAGATTGGGAGATGATTGCAAATGATTGAGGTTGAACACAACCCTGTCTACTGCATGCTGCTTTTGCTGTTTGGCATGCAACTAGTCTTAAGTGATTCTTACCCTTATTAGATCATATTTAAGCTCTGCATTTCTGCAGTATCTGGTTGTGAATTATGGTGAACAATGAACAACAAATATCCCTCTCCTCAATGAGCAGGAGCCCAGCATATTAGTACAAAATGGTTTGCATCTGTCTTCATTACATACATTAACTACCTTCACCGTTACAGAGGAGAGTGGATTTCTTCTGAATTGCAATTGGCTTGAATCAGTTTTGTTGGGTTTATCCTATTTGTCGAATTGTCTGAATTATTTACCAATTAGTCTGTTTTAAGAAGTGCTATTGCTAACTTGATCGAACATTTCCTTTATGACTCTAGAATATGAATACCTAGGAACAGGATTATTTAAATTCACCAATATTTACAAGTACAGTGGTGTTCTCAGATGATTTTTGATGTGGTTTGTGATGATGCTTAATAAACGTATTGACTGTTCAGGATTGGAATGCAGTTCTACTTCGATACTTCAATCCTATTGGGGCACATGAGTCAGGAAAAATAGGTGAAGATCCCCAGGGTATTCCCAACAATCTGATGCCATATATTTCACAGGTATGTAATAATTTTAAAGAGTTTAAAATAGGATGTGAGTACAGTGGAAGAGGGAGAGCAATATTACCTTCAAAACATTCTTCAAAAAGATAACACAAGTTGTTAATGACTTCCTCCCACTAGAAACTAAAAATGTTGTATAATTTTGACAGCATTAATTTTGTGTGGGGTTCCTGAAAATCCCTACAATACTAATGTGTTGGTTGGTTTTATTTTGGATTACACTTTTTCATTTGGAGGAGTTGGTATCTCATGCAAGTCCTCCTCGAGCTCTTCCATGGTTAGATGTTAGAATATGTGACTCTGGCTACCATCATCCTACTGTTGGTGGCCTTGCCTTCGGTTGTCTAGGTCTTTGGCTCTGGATTCCATTCCGGTCTAACGAAGAGTCATATTTCACTGTCTCTCTCCACAGATGATATCAGACCTGCTGAATATTTCCAGCACTTTTTAGTTTCCTTTCAGATTTCCAGCATCTACAGTACCTTGTTTTCATGAACATTTGCAACTGTTTTCACAGAAATAGGAAATTTTTTGTGATGCTTTCAAAATCACAAAAGATTTTGAGGGTTACATAGAACCTAGAACTTAGAACAGTACAGCACAGTACATTCCCTTCAGCCCACGATGTTGTGCCGACCTATTATCCTACTAAGATCAATCTACCTTGCATACCCTACATTTTACTATCCTCCATGTGCCTATCCAAGAGTTGCTTATAAGTCTCTAAAGTACCTGACTCCACTACCACTGCTGACAGCGCATTCCACACACCCACCACTCTGTGTGAAGAACCTACCTCTGACATCTCCCCTATACCTTCCTCCAATCACCTTAAAATTATGCCCCCTCATAATAGTCATTTCCGCCCTGGGAAATAGTCTCTGACTATCCACTCTATCTATGCCTCTCATCATCTTGTACATCTCTATCAAGTCACCTCTTGTCCTTCTTCACTCCAATGAAAAAAGCCCTAGCTCCCTCAACTTTTCCTCATAAGACCTACCGTCCAGTCCAGGCAGCATCCTGGTAAATCTCCTCTGTACCCTTTTTAAAGCTTCCAAATCTTTCCTATAATGAGGTGACCAGAACTGAACACAATATTCCAAGTGTGGTCTAGCCATAGTTTTATAGAGCTGCAGTATAACCTCACGGTTCTTGAGCTCAATTTCCCTGCCAATGAAAGCCAACACACCATATGCTTCCTTTACAACCCTATCAACTTGGGTAGCAACTTTGAGGGATCTATAGACGTGGACCCCAAGATCCCTCTGTTCCTCCACACTGCCGAGAATCCTGCCATTAACCCTGTATTCTGCATTCAAATTCGACCTTCTAAAATGAATCACTTCACACTTTTCAGGGTTGAATTCCATCTGCCACTTCTTTGCCCAGCTCTGCATCCTGTCAATGTCCTGTTGCAACCTACAACAGTCCTCCAGGCTGTCCACAACTCCACCAACCTTCGTGTCATCCGCAAATTTACTAACCCACCCTTCCACTTCCTCATCCAAGTCATTTATAAAGATCACAAAGAGCAGAGGTCCCAGAACAGATCCCTGCGGAACACCACTGGTCACCGAGCTCCAGGCTGAATACTTTCCATCTACTACCATCCTCTGTCTTCTATTGGACAGCCAGTTTTGTATCCAGACAGCCAAATTTTCCTGAATCCCATGCCTCCTTACTTTCTGAATGAGCTTACCATGTGGAACCTTATCGAATGCCTTGCTAAAATCCATATACACCACATCCACTGCTCTACCTTCATCGATGTGTTTTGTCATATCCTCAAATAATTCAATAAGGCTTGTGAGGTGTCACCTGCCCCTCACAAGGCCATGCTGACTATTTCTAATCAAACTGTGCTTTTCCAAATAATCATAAGTACTATCTCTCAGAATCCTCTCCAGTAATTTGCCCACCGCAGAAGTAAGACTGACCGGTCTGTAATTTCCAGGATTATCCCTATTCTCTTTCTTGAACAAGGGAATGACATTTGTCATCCTCCAATCTTCTGGCACTACTCCAGTGGATAGTGAGGATGCAAAGATCATTGCCAAAGGGGCAGCAATCTCTTCCCTCGCTTCCTGTAGTAACCTTGGGTATATCCCATCTGGCCTAGGGGACTTATCTGTCCTCATGTTTTTCAAAATTTCTAGCACATCCTCCTTCCTAACATCAACCTGTTCAAGTATATCTGCCTGTTTCATGCTGTCCTCACAAATGTCAAGGTTCCTCTCACAGGTGAATACTGAAGCAAAGTATTCATTGAGGACCTCCCCTACCTCCTCTGACTCTACACACGTTCCCTCCACTATCCCTGAGTACCCTCGTTCTGGCCATCCTCTTGTTCCCCACCTAAGTATAGAAAGCCTTGGGGTTTTACTTGATCTTATCCGCCATGATTTTCTCATACCCCCTTCTAGCTGTCCTAAGTCCATTCTTCAGTTCCTTCCTGGCTACCTTGTAGACCTCTAAAGCCCTGTCCAATCCTTGCTTCCTCAACCTTAAGTAAGCTTCCTTCTTCCTCTTGACTAGGTGTTCAACATGTCTTGTCATCCAAGGTTCTTTCAGCTTACCATCTTTTCCTTCCCTCAGTGGGACAAACCTATCCATGGATTGGATAAAAAAAAAGTTTCCATTAGTTGCTGAAATAGTAATGAGGGAACACAGTCTTAGGACTTCTGTACCAGAAGAATTGAGAAAGAAGTTATAAATTTCACTCCCTACTCCCTCAATTTTGGAACACTTTACTACAGCAACTGTTGAGATATACACTATAACTTACTTCCACAGAAAAGTAGATCAACATTTTAAGAAGTTTGTAAACGAGACAAAGGCAGAGAAATGAAATTTAAGTAGAGGTTGTATAGGCACAGAAACAAGGGTTGAATAGTCATTTGTGCTGCAATTTCAACGAATGACTGCGAGTCTGCTAATAAAATGTTGCATCGTTTTCAATTTTCTGAAATGTAGGAGTTTTTTAAAAAAAAGTTCTTCATTCTTACTCTTGTGCTTTGCATTTCCCAAGAATATTTCTTAGACACAGAATATTGCAACTGAACATGTCAGAAGCTGTATAAATTACTTAATGACAGTTATGATTGGTATTGCATCCTTGATCTTTTAAATAAGCCCTAGTTTACAAAGGAATTGTGTGTTGCCACTGTTTTAATGACATGTTGTGCCAGCACAACCTTTGGTTGATTGTTGGCTATTTGGCAGTGATTTACAAACCAAATGGAACATTCCTGTTAATCAAGTTGTTAATGTGAGAATCTGAATAGAGGGGTATGACGTGGCCAGCTAGTAGCAGAACTTGGGTGACTGCTTCTGTGTAGCTCTAATGCTTTTTCACTCCCCGCCCCACTCCCCCACTCCACGAAGAGGAATGTCCTTTGAGCACGTTAGGTGTATGAGCCCTTTACTCTGAATGACATGTGCTGTTATGACTCAGCAGTGCCTAACACTCTTATCTAATGTAAGGAGTTCAATGAATCTGTTTACTAGCTTATCTTGCTGATTACCGAACTAAAGAGAAATCAACTGAAAGCAGCCTGGCAATGTATTCATTTGTTAATTTTCTCTTCTAGGCCCTGCACCTTTTCTGCTGGGGGCGGCTTCTAGGTCTGTGCTAATTATCTTCTGAGTGAACATTTACTTAGAACTGAGAGCTGATAGTATCTGCAGCTTATTCTGTGCCTTGAATCGAGTAAAGGGCGAGATGTTATCCACGCTTACTGTGTGACACTTGCATTTGCTGAACTGCAGCACATCTGATAATTCAGCATTGGTGGATAAACACATTAAAGGACTGCTTTCTGCACAAACAATCGTGGTTTGCAGCCTGGTGATAAAAACATCTGTTGTGTTCTGTTAACATGCTGCAGTGAAATTAGAGCATCCTCTTCGGGATGCAAGCTTGATCAAAATGTATGGAAGCCCTGTATTGTTCAAATGTTAGGATTCCTCCTGAACCTCTCCTGTTGAATCCAAGCAAATGCAAATCACTGTGTTTGGCCCTGGTTTGGATGCAGGAGTTATTTTAGAGGTGGCATTTATGGACATCAGTCTGTTTTTGGACTCCAAAATTTTTGTCAGGGTTTTAAACCCTCAGTCTTCAACTTTTCTGATTTATTCTCAAGATTGTGGTGCTAATTGTGCACAGTTGAAAGTTTGGTCTGGGAGTTTTGGGGCATGTCCTCCAATGCTTCTGGGCATTGCATGCTGGGGGGTCAAACATCATCTGAGTTCCTGTGAAGCTTTAGCCTAGTGCTCCGAGGAACTCTGTTTCTGTGTGTCACCACAAAGAAGTAAAGCTTAGGACTTGTCACTGGAAAGGCTGTGTACTGACAGAGAAAAACTCACACACTTGGCTCTCTTTCTCACGTTATTGTTAGCTAATGATAAAGGCTGAAAATAATAAGTAAATTAGTAGATGCAGCAGAACTTTTACTAATTCTCTTCATTTGCACCAGACTCATCACCTGACTGCTGGACGACAAGCATTAATGGGTCAGTTGTAATCTGTCTATTGCAGGAGAACCTTTCAATAGTCAAATGTTTGACTTTCTTCTCAGGTTGCTATTGGGCGTCGGCAGTACCTGAATATTTTTGGCGATGACTATGAGACATGTGATGGGACAGGTAAGATCATGCTTCCATGTGGTTCATGATTCAGTTATACGCCAATCAGCATCGTGTTAAAAACTATCACACTATCACCAAGGAAGTTACCATGAAGACATTACTGATTAGCAGATTTCTTTTTTGAAGTTGGATTCACATGCATTTCAACTCTGGCTAATTTCAGTTCCATCTTTCCTATTCTGTACAAAATTTTTATTTATAATTTAACATGTTTTGTTTAACGCACTAATGCAGATCTGTTTAATTTTGAAGGCTCACAAAAGACTTTGGAAAACTGATTCACTGAATTCTGTACGTTGATGTGTGTTTCTCAGTGAGATGAAAGCTTTTGGAAGTACTTTCGTGTTCCAAGTGTATTCCTTGTATTCTAATCTCAAATCAGTTTGCTGGAAATTCCCTCTGAAGCGGTTACATTGAGTTTAATTGACCAAATCATCACAATGCCTCCATAAGAACTCTTTATCATTAATTTGCCTAGATCCACACCTGTGCAAATACCTGCTTGCCCAAACTTCCTGCATTTATATTAATAGTTTCTAGGGTATGCTTATGTCCAGAGGAGCAACAGACAGAATAGGCCCAGAATAAGGCACCATTGGTAGAAGAAAATTGCTATGTCATCAGTGGAAGTGTTGTATTTATACTTGCTTTATGTTAATTGTGTGTGGGAAATGGGTTCTGCAGATAATTTTTGGAAAATGTGGTTGATAGTCAGGGTCTGTAGCAGCCTTTTGTGCACCAGACCAAACCCCCTCAAAATATATTAAGAAAATTGTCTAGTTGCTAACTTTTTCTTATTTTAAGGGTAAGTGTCAGGCATTGTGTTCTGGATACAGTTTGGTTAAACTACTAGGCTTGAAACAAAACACACTTTATTCATACACTATAATTAAAATATAAACAAAATAAAATATATTAACTACTACTAATTAACTGTTCCAAAATAGTAACATCCCATAAATGCATCTTTGGCAAAGGCAAATTCGGTAAAATAGCTTGTCTCGCATGTGATTCAAGCAGTAGGAAAAGAACCTCAGCAACTGCTACTGAAAGCTAAAACTGGGGGGGGGGGGAGAGACAATTCCTGGTTCTGAGGGAGCCTGACTCCAACCCGTCATGCTGCTTCTGTTGTTCCAACTTTAAAAAAGAAACCCCAAGGCCTCACAAGCTATTTACTTTATTGGCTTTGGAGCAGACTGCTCAACACCTCTGTGTCAACCTTGCTTCATTTTAAAACAAAAGGACAAAATACACCTCTTAAAGCCACACTTTTATCCAGTAGATAAATCTTCATGCCAGATGAGATGCGTGTTGAGGAAGTCAAGGTTGGGGATGTCAGGACCCTGGCATAATCATTAAATCCTCTCTGGCCACAAGTGAGATGTCAGAAGATTGATAACATTGTCCCGTTATTTAAAACAAAGGGGAGGGATAGACCAGGAAAATACAGGCCAGTTAGACTAACCTCAACGGTGGGGAAGTTGTATTGTGTTCCTCAGAATTCTAATATGTGCACTTGGAGAGACATGGAATAATCAGGCATAATCGACGTGGATTTGCTAAGGGATTTGGTTGAGTTTGACAAATTTAATGTATTCTTTGAGGTGGTAACTAGGAGTGTTGATGATAATGCATATGGTGTGGTCTGCATAGACCCAGATGTACATGATAATGTCTCTCATGGCAGACTGGTCAAGAAAGAAAGAACCAATGGGATTCAAGGTAAAGTGGCACACTGGCAGGAAGCAGAAGACTATTGTAAAGAGATGTTTCTGTGATTGGAAGTCTCCTTCAGTGGGTTTGGGCGGGCGCGGGGTGGGGGCAGTGTTCAACAGGGCTCAATGCTGGGGCCCTTGCTGTCTACGGTATACATTAATGATTTTGACTTAAACGTCGAGGGTATGATCAAGAAGTTCATGAATGACACGAAAATTGATAGTGTGGTAAATAGTAAAAAAGATGGCAGAAAACTGCAGGAAGATATTAATGCACAGGTTGGGTGGGTAAATTCAACCCAGAAAGCTTTGAGACAGTGCATTTGGGAAGGGATTATATTATGAATAGCAGGGCTGTCTTCACTGTAAATAGAGAAGACTGCATTTTTGAGTGAAGAAATGTTAATGCCATGCAAGTACAGTCTGGAGTTACATGGATGATATCAGGGCATGGTTACAAGTGGAGCTGTGGAGTTCATTTTGGATAGCTCTAGAAGACATGATGAGTAACTCTTTAGTATCTTAGACCACAGGTATTTTCTAGCATAAGCTAATGAGTACTACTATCCACAGGCGAAGCTTTTCTGAGCATAAACATGATGCTGGAAACAGACTTTACTTGTTCCTAGAGTTTTTCTGATTTGATAGACAAAATTACAGGTGTTTTGGAATCTAAATGTAACAATTACAGGCAAATAAGAGCTTTGTTTTGCTGTTTAGGTGTCAGGGATTACATTCATGTTGTGGATCTTGCAAAAGGACACATTGCTGCATTGAAGAAGCTGAAAGAAAGATGCAGCTGCAAGGTTTGTTGTTAACATTGTACTCTTAGTCTGTGAGATTATTGCCTCTAATGCTGTTTACAATTTGAGTCCTGTGCTTCAAGTTCTTGATATTTTTTGTCCTGTCCTTCCCAAGACATTTTCAACATTCTATAATAACTTACACTAGGACTCTTGGTATCTTTGCAGTAACCAAATGTATGTCTCTCATTGTTCAGGTATATAATCTTGGTACTGGAACAGGTTACTCTGTTTTACAAATGGTAAAAGCAATGGAGAAGGCTTCTGGGAGAGAGGTTAGTCAGTATCATTTAAGGAGCTTCTGTTGTGTCACTTAGCTTGGCTGAGTATAAACTAAATTAGTCAACAATGTATGAATTACAAACTAATAAATTCCTGGTTTTCTCCTTGTCTTTCAGATTAAATACCAAGTTGTTCAGAGGAGAGAAGGAGACATTGCTTCCTGTTATGCTAATCCAGCTCTTGCAGAGAAGGAACTTGGATGGAAGGCACATTATGGGATTGACAAAATGTGTAAGCACAATGTGTTAAAAATTTGGGGGTTTAATGTAATTTTGTTCCATATTAATGCTACTTTGTCATTTTTTCTAGTCTCCATTTTAGAGCTGAGTATATTTGTTTTATAAAATTGAATGTATATTCCAGTGATACAAACAATATCTTTCATACTTTAGGTCAAGATTTGTGGAACTGGCAATCCCAGAATCCTTATGGCTTCAGCAAGAATGAAGCATCGAATGCACCATCTAACAGTTGATTTGTCTATGTTAGAAAAAGAACTTAATTCTTTTTAAAATGTTTTAGTAGTCAAAGCTGTAGATTCCTATATCTTTATCTTTTAGCTGTTCTGGTGGAGGACAGTATAAATTTAAACTGCATCTGTACAGCAGATTCAAATATCTACTTTTGAAATTGAAAATCAAGGCTGGTTGAAACTCAAACTGATCAAGTTATTGACTTCTTTCACCAAGACTTGTTGATTGAAGTTTGAACTATCTAGATTTCTGTGACCAGATCTTTGGTCTTGTAACTCTAGTCATTTCTATATAATTTAAAAAGTGTATTTATATTATATATACACACACAACCCACAGGCTGGATACAGCCCTGGTGCATTTGAAGTTTTTGTACTTTAGAGTAATGGCTTAGAAATAAATAACCCTGTTTTGATAAGTGTGCATGTATGAATTTATTTTATTTTAAACAAGAAAGAGCAAGCAAAAGTGAACTGCATTTTTAGATCCACGGGTGGACCTATGGTTAAGTTAAAGAAATAATTGTGCAAAAAGAGTACAAGGTCAAAAGATCGGATAGAGCATAAAAATGTGCATTTACCACCTCCATCATCCAGTCTGTGAGAATGGAACATCCTAAATAGTGCTGAGCAGACTCAAAAACCATGGAATTCTCTCTTTATTCAATTTCACATTACAAGGAGATTAGAAAACCAAACACCATGGGTAAAATAATCAGAATAAAACTACAGCAATGCAATTGGAAAGCATATATTCACATGGAAATAGAGTAGTTTTTCAGAAAGGTGCATTGACAAATAGTTTCTTTCAATGCGTTCAATATTAATTCTCCTTCATTTTAAAATTGTCACAAGCCAAGCGATTCTCCAGACTGGAACAATCAATTGCAGATTTAAATAATTTGGGTTATTACTATGGTTCTGAATATTGAGTACACTGGTTTGTTCTCCATATTGTCTGCCAAACACATTTGTGAATGCATGCAACAGTATAAACCTTAAAATTTTAACTGTAATTACTCGTCAATGCTGCCCAGCAGTCACTGTTTGGAGCATTTACAACTCAGCACAAATACAAATATAATTTGCATTTAATGATTCTTAAATGTACAGGTGTAATTTTCTATCAGAAGGAATGTGAGGTAGAACTAAATCAGTTTTAATGACTGTGTGATGAGCTCAGTGTGAATGTTTATGAAAGTGATTTTCCACCACCTCCCCCTTCCCTTCAGTTACTGGGAAAAGGTGAGTAAGCTTGCTCTCTACTTCAAACAAACACCACTGCATTTACTTCTGTGCTAGATCGATAAGTAATGCCTTACTGAAGTTTTAAAAAAAACCAGAAGTTTCTTTGCGTGGTCTCCTTTGTCTCCCAACATCTCAAACCTAGTGAGGCTATGGCTTGAGTTGCATATGCCTACTTTCCAGATAAAACAAAATTTTTAAACTTACATTTCCAGAATTCTGGAGTAAGATGACTGAATTTACCCTACAGTATTGTATGGGTTTATATCTGGTCCCTTCTTTCCATCTTCCTTCGAGGAGTCAGTCCACTTCCTTGGTTTCACTAACCAACCATATTTCTCTTCTCCTGCAATAGTGTCTTGCCTATTTTCAGTAGCGTAAACCCACGAAAGATATATAGTAGATGCTATTTTAAGTTAAAAATCTTAGTGTTTTTGTGACAAATAACAATGCCATATACAACCAACTTGTTACATCAGGAGAGGTAGACAGAAAGAAGCCAGTGTTATAATGGGAAAGTGTTGTCACATCTACTTAATGTAACTCTGTTATCAAAAGATGTCAATAGATATTAAAAACTGGCACTGGAGTTAAAAAAAAAATGTCAATCCCATGATTTCTCTTCAGGCATGGAGAGCAAATGAAAGAAAATGGCACAGTTAACAAGGTCATCTTATTAATTCTCCCTCACATCCTCCAACATCTATTTGTCACAGATTTAATGACATGCTATTTTTTAAACTGAAGATAGATCTGAAATGTATCACATGGAGTCTATGTACAGCAACAATTTAGTAAATCCAACTTTTAAAAATCTAGTGCAATTGCATGTAAACATGCTGCTTATAGAAGTGTTACACGAGGATTCTGTTTTGTGGCAAATGGATCCAAGAGTACAGTGTTACAATGTTTCAATGATGTATAACTCTGCATATCAAAACCCTCATCTGTAATTTAAGATGAATTAATTTAGATTCTACTGGAGCAGTTCTTGTAAAGGATTTGAGCTCTAGGAAACTGGCAGCATTCATGAAACAAGGACACTTTTGTCTTTGCACCTTTTCAGGCACATGATGCACTGAAGTGCTTCTCAATTTGCATCAAAATTTGTTGTTAATAGTTTGCATAATTTAACATTTTGTATTTCTCGTGGTAAAAGTCTAACTTCGTTAGCCAAATTTTGTTTGCTGCTTTAAAAAAAGCTTCTGTGAAGCACAGTGATCATTTTGGTAAAGCATTTTACACACACACACACACAGGGAACATCTTGGTTGGAATTAAAATCAACCACTAGTGAAATGACTTTCCAGCTTCTTAGTTCCTGTCCCCTTTCCATATATCTTGAAGACATTTCTACACCTGATAGTGTGCACCGAGTTATGCCAAATGTTTTAAAATACATAGCCCACACTGGAGGCCAAACAAGAATAATAGTCAATAAGGGTGGCTGGATACAAACCTCTGGCTAGCAGACCAGTGCAGCTCATTGGAGGCAATGCATTTTGAAAAAGAGATACAATACAAATAACAGTGCCAACAGATCCCACGCATGTGGCAATCATAGGAATAGTAGAATAGCAGCCAGTTGGTGGGGGAAATGTTGCCCCTGCAGGCTTTTCCTCTCCCTAGCCTAGATGTTGAAGTCAACTGTTTGCTTATTGCTGCAGCTGTGTTGAAAGCAGAGTAATTTTAAAAGTTTTTAAGCACAATTCCCACACTTTCACTGATTTGGTACATGGGCCCTGCAGACATTCTGCTTCCAGACCTTGCTGCAATTCTCAATGTAACTATTAGAGAATAAACAATAACTCAGTTTCCATGACTTCAACACTTTGAGCTGTCCTCAGCATGATTCTTCCCACAGTGGCATATAGTTAAGATGGCTTAAGTTAATGCCTTGACTATGCTCATCAATCTGTGTAAGATGAATCTTACACCCTATCCTTTGCACACTAAAATCAATACAATTAGCAAGCTCAGTTTGTTGTTTTAAACATCTGAATTTAAAAATCTTAAACAACAGAGTCAAAATGACTTCGGAGATATCCACCTCCTTTTGGCATCCTAACAATTACTGGTCCTCAATCATGCTGCACTCCAGTCAGTGAGAAAATTGTTATGATCCCATCAATTGAGAGAAACTACAGTATGTCTAGTCAGCATTAGGTGCATTCTCCAGTTAATCTTCCCTTACATTCTGAAACAAATGAGATGCTTTATTGCTGTTTCTTGGTTCCATCAGCCAGTGCAGCAGGATTGTCCATCTCTTGCACTTCACAGTTAAACCAATGATTCCACAATTAAGCAATAAGAAGTGAATGCATCAATTTGCAGGAAAAGCACAAAGAAATAGAATACACTGATATTACAAAAGCACACTTTGTAGCTTTAATCTTAGTTGATGCTAATTGGACTGAGACTTGAATCCTAGATCTGAAATTACATGATACCCTACTTGCTCAGAGCAACTTTTATGAATTACATTTACCTTGAAATAAAAGCTACATTAGGAAACTTCTGCCAAGTATTTGAGCTGGAAAGAGTTAAAATTGAGCAGATGCTTCCTGCTAAAAGCAGTAATCACTTTAGTGATAAAATTACCTCTGAAGGGACTTTGGATTGTGCCAGTAAAAATCGTGGATATATCCAGTCTACTTTAAGAGAAATATAACTATTACAAATAAAATGGCCTGTAAAAGATTGCAGGTTGGTAGCACATGGCTTGGTTTCAGTTGTCGGGTGAAAGTTGAAGGGTTGAAGAAAGCTATTACAGGTTTCTCACTTCAGTCAAATTGGTGGAAGCTGCTTTGCAATGAATTCTTTCACTGCCATCATTTCCTGTGATGAAAAAAAAGGTATTAAACTCCAGTTTTAAAATAGAAGAAAAAAAGTTACTCAAATTTTGCAATTCACACTTTTATTCCAATAATTACAAGTTGAAACAAAATAAGTTTCCTTATAGTTCATTGCCAGCCTACACCAAAGCTGATATAATAAGAAGCTTTCTCCCTCATATCATCTCCATTGGTTTTCAAAGCTGCCAACATAACCACCGCCCTCAAAAATTCACGATGCAACCCTCGGAAGCTATGACTGTCACTCCAGAAATTCTCTTTCCGAATCTCAAATCTGCACAGAACAGAATGGATCTAAGCAAAGTTTCAAACAGCACCCCACATGAGGGTAACTACTGCTGCATTAATCCTCCTTGACCTCTCTCCTGCATTTGACACCATTGATTGCATTGTATACCCCCTACATCACCTCTGTTATTCAGTTCAGGGTGACCCCACTGCTTGCAGTTCTGGTTTTCAGTCATGGCAAGGGATTGACACCAACCTCACAAACAAACATATAACTTGGAGGCCACAAAAACAAAGCTGACGTTTGCCAAGCATAAAATTATTTACAATGTACTGTCAAGTCAGCATTTCCTCAACTAATAAATAAGATCAAGTATTGAAGAGATACATTTATATAATTGTCAATACCCAAGATAAGGTAATGTGCCATAAAATCTTTCATAGGATGCAGATTTAAATATTATAAACAGGTGTAATGAATAAGCTATCGTTGCACTCACCTGTTGACATGAGCAGTGTTGCATTAAATATGTTTTGAACTGAACGTTTGCAGGATTAATGATTGTTTTTAGCTTAGCAGCTGTCAAAGATCCAAATGCTAATGGTATCATTAGATCCTTTTCACCATGACACTGCAGGATGCTGATATCCTTGTTGACATTGCTACCCGCTGCCTAAAATTACAAAGAAAATTAAAAGATACTTTTAAAATTATATTAGGTTTTCGATATAATTTTCTTCTTACTTGTTTAAACACTGAAAAATATCAAGGGCATAAAGGTACATAGGAGCAGGAAAAGGCCTGTTGAGCTTGATCGACCATTCAATATGATAATGGCTGCTCATTCATTTCCTGCTTTCTCTACCCCCATACTCTCCCTACAACCCCTTATATGTCTTTGGTATTTGGAAATCTGTCAACCTCTAAAGATGCTCCATGATTAAGCCTCCATGCTTCTGGGGCAGAGAATTCCAAAGATTCACCACCCTCTGAGTAAAAACAAATTCTCCACATCCTCATTCTTAAGCAGCTTCCCCATTATTTTGAAATTGTATCCTCCTGGATCTAGACTTTCCAACCTGGCAAAGATTTGAATCTATAGCTTTCAATGAGAACACCTCTCATTCTTCTAAATTCTAGAAAGAATACTGACCAATTTTCTCCATTCTCTCCTCATAGGACAGTCCTGCCATGCTGGGAATAAGTCTGGTGAACCTTTGTTGCACCCTCTCAATGATAGTAATATCCTTCTCAAGATAAAGGAATCAAAACTGTAGATAGCCCGTCAGGCATGGTCTAACCATGATTGTACAAGTACTTTAAATCAAACTGCTCAGGATTTAATGAAACACCTCTGGAGAGTGGGACTTGAACCCAGGCCTCCTGGCTCAGAAGTAGAGACATTACCACTGTACCACAAGAGTCCTCTAACCATGATTCCATACAATTGAAACAAAAGTTTACTTTGCCTGCACTCAAATCCTCTTGCAATAAAGGCCAATGTATTATTAGCCATCCTAACTGCTTGCTGCATGTGCACGTAAGCTTTCAGTGACTTATTGAAGAGAACACACAGGTGCTTTAGTATAGCTCCTCTTTCCAGTATCTGGAAATACTGTGCACACCTGATCTTCCTATAACATTGCTGTGTCACCAAAGTTATGGAAAAATATACATGTTCGGAATGGAGAATAGCACAATTTTACTAGAATAGAAGGGCTTAAAGAGACAAATTATTGAAATCAGGTTGCGTAAATACGGCTTCTATTCCCTTCAGTTTAGAAGCACAAGGGATGATCTAATCAAAGTATTTAAAATGATAAGAGGTAACTGATAGGCTAGAGAAATTAATTCCTTTGGTGTGGGAATCCAACCAATTCAGGAAACATTTGTTTTCTAGACAAAAGGAAATCTGAATCCTGTCCCCAATCAGGCTCTGGGTGCTGGGTCAATTGAAATTTGCAAGATGGAAATTGATACTTTTCTATGATCCAACTGAATGCAAGAACAGGCCTACTCCTGTTTCTGGTTTTCTAAATTTGGCTTCTGGTTTACACAGTAAGGCTTTGCTACTTCGAAAGAAAATGGAATTAAGTGACATCAGTGGCATTAAGTTCTTCTTTGAAGAACTGCTACAGAAAATATTTGACTAAAAGAAAATACCAATTCAAGAGCAATTGGAATATAGAGAAGTAGGCATATGGCAGTAACCGAAGCTTGCTTAAAAAACAAAACAGCAACTGAATGCATCTCCCATCAATAAGGAGGTTTATCGCCTTTAAACCTCCCTGTTCCCTCAGAAATACACTGACGTTTCACAGGCACCAGTTTCCCTTTAGTATCTTGCCCAAGTCATCTTTTAGATAGGACATGGTGACAGACCTTCTGACTGTAACTGCCAAACCAAACTTGTCCAAATTTGCTCATTCCACATAGACAGGATTTAGCAATCAAGAGCAAGAACACTAGTTTACTAATATACAAATGCTGTTTCACAATCCCACTGCTAGACGTAACAAGTTAGTGACTGAATATGTTAACCAATAGCCAGAACACCTAGAAAGCTTAGCATGTTTAACAAGCAATTATTTCTGCATACAAAAACTGTGCCAGAGTGAAATTCTGAAAGTCCAGATAAACATATTTGCATTTTCTATAGTACAACAAAGTATGAATCACAGAAAATGTAAATTAGAGATACCTGTGGGAAGGTTTTGTGAAGAGGAAGCCAGCAACTTAGAGCTACAACTCCAGCCAGTTTGTAATGGCACGTCAGAGCAGTGTACAAAGATAATGCACCACCCTGCATTGAGAAGACGTTCATTACTTTCCTTGAACATTTAAAGAAAAAGTACAAACATATTTTGGAAATAATCTTGAAAAGTCACCTGTGAAAATCCTCCAAGTATGATCCTATGTGAAGGAATTCCATTTTTGATCTCATGTTCAATAACTGCTTTTACTTCGGGAAATAAAAGTAGACTATTATAACAAGTCATATTTGCCTAATCCCTATAGTATAAATCTCTGGATAAAAATGTTAGTATGCATTACAAAACATATCTTTTTTAAAAAGTACCTTCCTTGTCCTTTATTATAAAGGATTGATTGACCTGTTCAGGCATGTTTGACACACCTCCCTGTCAAAAGGAACTTTGAACTGGACCTCTGGTCCAGAGGTAGGAACGTGACATGCACAAGAGCCCTTGGATTTAAAGGGTTGCCATGCATTAGTCCGGAAAATAACATGAGCCTGTGTAGTAGGCAAGAATTCTATCACTGAACCACCAATGCAACCATTTGATATGAAACACTTTTTGAATTTGCATGCAATCTTCAACCAGGATCTGTATACCTCTTCTGTCATTCTAATGAAGATTGCGTGTAGCTGAAGACAGCACTTCCTGCTCTTAACTTGAACATTACACCTGTTATTTAATCACCGCTACACGTGTATAATCCCCTTTGCATCCATTCATGTGTACATTGTAGCTGCTGTTTCAGATCAAAGCCCTCTATGATGGCATCTTACTTTCATAGCTGTCACTGTTCTATAAATGCTGTCAGGCAACCAAGCTTTCAACTCTTGCTCTTCAGTTAAATGTTTTCCCACCTACCGCTCCACCTATATTCATTACCAGTCTTTGCTTTACCCTTTATTTTACAAGAAAGTATCCTCTGCTCTCTCAATACAGGACTATCACAACACCCATGATGGAATTAAGAACAGATGCTTCATTTCCATTCTTGTTGACCTTTATACCCAGGATGCCTAATGAAAGTCAACTGTCTTCCAGTCTACCCATCGCCACTCTTTCCTGGACCCTGCTGCCAAGCTCGATCTCCCTCTAGATTCTCAGATCACAAACTAGGGTCTCGGTAACCTTTGGTATTCCCCATGCTCCCCAGCTCCTACCTTAATATTTAGTTGAATAATTCTGTACCAATGCCGTCATAGTGAGTTTGATAACTTCCTCAAAACCTAATCTCTCATTAAGCATTTGGTGACCGTCCTTAATCTTGCCCTCGTAGATTAATTTTTCACATACTTCTGAAGTGCAGGAAATGTGTCAAAAGATACCATACAAAAACAAGATTTATGTTTAAAGTACTCAACTGGTCCTTATTAACTGTGCTGCAAGAAGAGACTTACTGCATTCAGAAGCTTTCTTTATACCAACTTCATCTTCTGTATCTTCTGGACTTAATCCAGCCAAGTCAAACCTTTTAAACAGAGGACACTTGTACAGTTGATTATTATGCATGGTTAACTAAAACAATGGCATGGCTTAACCAAATATTCTAATTTGAAAAGAATAATTTGTGCCCTGCTTTAATAGTTTGAATTACAAATGGGAAAACAGCATCTCCAAGATTGATGATATTAGGAGTGGCATTGAATTAGGGATGATTGCCTCATGGAAAATACTGAATCAATATACTTGAAAGTTTAGTCTTTTTAATTCTTGCTATAACAGTGGATTGATCTGCTTTAGTCTTCAGCAGGTTTTAATTTCAATTTTCAGAATTTTCAGTTGATTTCCAATTTACACCAAAATGTTTTTAATTCCAGCCAAAGATGGAGTGATTTGCTCCTGATCACAATACAGTGAGATGATGAGCTGATCAAATGTGGCATCTACATCATCAATACCAAGTGAAGCAAGGTTAAAACCATGTGATAATCAGGATATTACTCTTAGGAAGGTGGAGAGGAGAGGGTGCAGTGTTAACAAGTCATGAAAGCAGGAAGTTTAGAAAACAAAATCTCTCAAACTCACCATGACGGCGTTGGTACAGAATTATTCAATTGCACAGGAATCTTTGGCCTGAATAAATAAAGGACAATAATTAAGTTCAAGTCTCAAATTTAGCCAATTTAAGTTGAAATTAACATGCATTTCAATATAGATCATAGAATCCCTACAGTGTGGAAACAGACCCTTCGGCCCAACAAGTCCTCACCAACCCTCAGAGCATCCCACGCAGACCCATTCCCCCCATAACCCACCTAATCTATACGTCCCTCAACACTACAGGCAATTTAGCACGCCCAATCCATCTAGCCTGCATATCTTGAGACTGTGGGAAGAAACCGGAGCACCCGGAGGAAACCCACGCAGACACAGGGAGAACGTGCAAACTCCATACAGACAGTCACCCGAGGTGGAATTGAACCCGGGTCCCTGGCATGGTGAGGCGGCAGTGCTAACCACTGAGCCACCGTGCTGCCCCCAAAATTTCTAACTTTAAATATAATTTGCTTCTTGTTTATTTATATATCATTGAATTTTTTGCATTTTAAACAAAAACTTCAGTATTCTTTTATGAGCAATGTAGAATTTTTAAACATCCCTTATTCCAACATATTTAGGGTGATTAACTGAGCTCTATAGACCATGTTGAATTTGCTAACTTCCAGCAGGTTCCTAGCAACTGCTAGGAACTACCCTAGGTAAAGGAAAGAGATAGTAGGAACTGCAGATGCTGGAGAATCCGAGACAACAAGGTGCAGAGCTGGATGAACACAGCAGGCCAAGCAGCATCATAGGAGCAGAAAGGCTGACGTTTCGGGCCTAGACCCTTCATCAGAAAAGGGGGAGGGGAAGGGGGTTTTGAAATAAATAGGGAGAGAGTGGGAGGCGGATAGAAGAGGGATAGAGGAGAGGATAGGTGGAGAGGAAACAAACAGGTCGAAGAGGCGGGGATGGAGCCAGTAAAGGTGAGTGTAGGTAGGGAGTTAGGAAGGGGAC